ACTGGGTGAACAATCTGTAGCTATAGCAGGGCATTAAAAATACAGAAACAGCTGCATCTTTCTTCAACATAAAGTGTCAGATATATACTGTTATACTGTTGTAGCTGTGTAGCACATCAACTCCAAGAATATAGCTTATTCCTGTCCAAAGAAACAAATAGTCGTGATGTTTTTAAGTGGGTCTATGTTGTAAATTTACAGTTAGCACCAGCTCTGATTAAAATGAGATAATGTACTATAGGTAGACAATATTGTAATTCAGTAGACTTGTGGAATATGCAAACTTACTGTCATGTGACCTCAAAAAAAAAATAATGACAGGCTAGAATCCAGTTCCAGTAGCTCTTGTCCACTTTTGTAGGAAAAATGATAAGCCATTGTGGCAATAACAGCTCAACAGAACTGTTTGTTTCAAAGCTTTTATTCTGTGTTCTGCAAAACAAAACAATACAAAAAAAAACACAAAAAAATTGCTGTTAAGTGTGACAGTGACTGACTTTGTGCTGAAATTTCAGCTATTTCAGATGAACATTGTATATTATCTTGTAAATTAATGTTCAAAGTAGTTTTGTTATTATAGAAAAGTGTTGATGGACGGGTTGCTTATAGCACTTTAAATTATTCTAGAAATGGAATAAAAGCCAAGTGGGTTGGCTTAAGTAGATGTAGTTGTACATTACTTCAGAATATTTACATCTCTGGAAAGTTTTAAAAACTTATTTGAAGATAGCTTACTGCTATGGGAATGAGAAAGGGCAGATGTTTCATCTATAATATGCTAATGCTTAACATGAATAGAAATACAGGGCTTTGTTCCTGTCTCTATGTATAGCTCTTTATCCTTACTAGAACTTAGTACAATGTGTAGACTAAATGTTTACAAAATAAAGAACTGTAAATAAAATGAAATGGCTTTTCTCCCCTTTGGTCTTCCACAGCAGTATTATTGTCTTTGTGGAGTTAAGACTGATTATTACAACAACAACAACAACAACAAAAAATCCTGTATTGGATTTTAAGTACTACAAGGTCACAGTGATGTATAGCAAATAAATCTAAATATATGTAAAAATAAACTTGAGTTGGAGTTTATTTAGAAGTTGGAGTTTACTCAGAAGCACAAATGGAGATTGTTGCTGTTCATTTAATAACTCTGCTGAATACATAGGATGTATTTGTTCATCCTTTTGTGGATTTTTGGTTTTTGAAAGCCCAGTGGAAGCTGTAAAAGATGCTTCTTCAGCCATTTTCAAGGGATGAAAAACAAAAGGCATCTTGCATTATCCTTGCCGAAAAAGACCTAAATGAATTCAAGTGCCTAGTCTTTATCCTAAGCTTATATTGCAAAAAAGCTTACTTAGATTTTAAATGCTACTGTGAAGAATATTATGAAGAATTACACTTTGGAGGATTATATAAAAGCACCGGAAAACTTTCAGTAGCTGAATGTCTGAGTATTGGGAAAGCACATGGAGGGGGGGGGGTGTGGAAATAACAGGACGGTAAGCAGTACAGTGGCAGTCATGCTTGTATAAATACTGAATTAGTTGCCAGCTGGGGTTAAGCCACAGCAACTGCTTATTCAATTTCAAATTAAAACATTAATTTTGATTTTAATACTTCCTAGTATTCCTCATTCAGGACATGAATCTTGCATCTCACATTTATGTTCTTCCTTTGTACATGAGCAGGTCATCAGAGTGGTTTACTGTTGTCACAGCAATAGGGAGCTCAGTTAAGGGAACAGACCTGTATACTTAATCCAAGAAAAGTACCTGCTACTACAATATGAAAAAAAGCTACAGTGTGGCACTGGAGTAAAGAGCATCCAGTTGAGTGAATGGTATACCTGTAGTGAAGTATGTACAAACCACGTAGTGGTCCTGCTAGCTGTCCCACTGCAGTTTCTCCAGTGGTAGGTCTGTTTAAGCTCTGCTTTTTCCTGTCCTGATTATCTGACAAACTTTGTAATCCTTGTTGAGTTTCTTTTGTAATAGTTACACTGCTAGTAATACACATGCTGTTGAACACTAGACTGCTTTCAATGTGCCACGTGATGGCAGGAGTGACTTCAGTTAAGATGTTGATGTGGTGCAATGTATACATAGCAGCTGGAGTAACGGGCAGCAGTGCTTGCCAGTATTGTGATCAGTGATGACTGAACATCTCACCACAAATGTTATACTTTCTACTACACAGTTTTAAAAACTAGCTTTAACATTGAGCCCTTGGATGTACAGGAACATTTTAAAGCAGGAATTAATGCCAAGGAAGAGGGACCCCATTTCCACTGGGTGGCATGCCCACTCACTGATCCATCCTCTTGCTTTATGCACTGCAGCAATTGATGTAAGACTAGAAAAAAAATACAAAGGTGTGAAAGTCAAACTTATTTCTTCCAATACAAATAAGCATGTAAACTGCATTCAGAATATGGAAAATATAATATATAATTATAATATATAAAACACATAATACCTCACAGCTCTTACAGGAGGACACTTTCTTTCAGGACCAAGGAAGGAACGTTGCTTTTCTGGCAAACAGTCACAACATTTGCAAGAGCAGCACATGCCTCCGGCAGAAAAATGAGGGAGATCTGTTACTTACTGGAAGGAAATCAGTTTCAAATAAAACACTTTGGGGGTAAATGCATTATTTAAAAGAATAAGGTGCAAGAGTAAGCTACCATGAAAGTAAGAAAGAGTTGCTCACTCTATCTCAGAGGTTAAGGGTTTAATTTTTTAAACAAGTCAGAATTAGGAAAGGTCTTAAAATCTGTGAAGATTGCTTTAATCAAGCAGATTTTGACCTTTACTGTCCTACTACTTTGAATTTAAGTAGAACATTTAAATTTGGCAGAGGTCACACTAATTCCACAGGAATGTGACACAGTGTAGTAGGAGATAATTGGATAATTCAGTTGGTTCGTAATTCAGATTTGTTTTCACCTACTTTCTGTGGATAAACCTGTCCCACATCTTTAAGTAAAAATGTTACAAAACATATAACCTGCATGAAAGCTTGATAAATCATAATATAACAATATTTAATATTTCTCTTACGCAAAGCCAGTACCTGCTTTTTACAGTTCAGAAGGCACTGCATGTTGCTGCTTACTCAAAGGTGTGGAATCATGTGGTTTTCTTTTCCAATTGGAAATACTTCCAATGGGGAAAATAGAAATTGTTGTTGCTGCAAAAGCTTTTAACATTGCATTGGGGTGATTGTGAATGGAGCCTTAAGAAGTTACCTGTAGTGAGTTATAGACTGATCATGTATATAGTGATAACATTGTTACACAGCTCATCTAAGCAATTAAGTGCAAGGTCTTTTTGAAGAGGTCTTGTGAGCTTGAAGGCTAGTTTTTTTTACCCTTCAAATGCCTCTCTTTAAACCTACAATCTAGTTTTTAACCTGTATGGTAAATGTAAGTGCGCATATGTCTGGATGTTCTTATACATAAGAAGAAATCATTGTTTCTATAAATACATTAGCAACAGAAAGAGGGATAAGGAGTATCTCCATCCTTTATTGGAGGGGGGGGGGGGAAACAGTGACAAAGGATGAGGAAAAGACTGAGGTACTTAATGCCATCTTTAACTCAGTTTTTAACAGTAAAACCCAGTTGTTCCAGCTCCCGCTGAGCTGGAGGGCAGGAACAGGGAGCAGGAGGAAGTTCCCATAATCCAAGGGATAGTAACCTGTTACACTACTCAGACACACACAAGTCTATGGGACCAGATGGTATCTGTGCAAGGATACTGAGGGAGCTGGCAGAAAGGCTTATGGAGCCACTTTCCATCATTTGTCAGCAGTCCTGGGTAACTGGGGAGGTCCCAGTTGGCTGGAAGTGAGCAAATGTGACAGCCATCTACCAGAGGGGCAGAAGGAGGGTCTGGGGAGCTACAGACCTGTTAGTTTGAACCCAGGGAAGGTTATGGAGCACATCATCTTCAGTGCCATCAGTGGCACCTACAGGACAACCAGGCGATCAGGGCCAGTCAGCATGGGTTTGTGAAAGGCATGTCCTGCTTGACTAGCCTGATCTCCTCATGACAGGGTGACCTGCTTAGTGAATGAGTGAAAGGCTGTGGATGTTTTCTCCCTAGACTTTAGTGAAGCATTCAACAGCATTTCCCACAGCAGTCACCTGGAGAAATAATCAGTTACAGCTTTTATTTATAGTTCATGTATTCCTTTGACAACCACCATCCTTACGACAATTCAGACAGCTTGTGAAAGTCATTGTATAAAAACGTAAATGTAAGAATATGCCGTAAATATTATGTAAGTATTATACCTACAGGTCGTTTTTGCAGGTCAGCCTGAGTAGTCTGAGATCTCAAGAAAACATGAAATAAGTTCTGCTGAATCCTGTAATTATTTTTTTTCCTTAGATTCACAACACATAACTGTGTCTAAAATATTAATGATTTACATGGACTTAGTGATAGACATCGTAATCAGTTCTTGTATCACTAACTTACCAAATGTATTTGATTTATTTTTTTCTTGGAGCTTCAAAGTGGAGTATCTGTACTCTCATAATAAGATAACAATACTTGCGTTATCACAGAGACAAGATGTTTATATACCTTTTCTTCTGTAAGAAGATACTTGCTCTTTCAGTTTGAAAGAATCTGATGGGGAAAAAAGCCACTTCTTTTTCATTGTGCATATTACTTGCCCAGGCATCTCGCTCTGAAACAAATGTTTTTCACATGAAACACGTGTTTACCAGGTTAGCTATTTGCACAGTAGAGGCTGAGAGAAGTGGTGATCTATGTAATCCAGTAAGCGTTATGCACCTTGAAAAGGTCTCAGCTTTGTGCGTAATACAAACAATTTTAAGATCTAGGAGTATTAATTCATTGGCATTTACTCCTCTTCAGCATCACTTGGACCAAAATATATTATTGTAGTGGCATCAGAGTGGTTCAAATGACAAATACCATAAAATTAGGCCAGTGTTTCTGTGTAGTAAGAAACACCATTTCCTTTTCTCACAGAGGTACATTTCAATGGAAGATGCTGACTGTAGTCAGTTTCTGTTATACAGAACAGTACAAGTACCTGACTTTTTTATATGTTGCACGTTATTTTTCCCTGTATTTATAAGAGCCATATTTACATAGATAATCTGATGATACATTGCACAACATTCATAGGAGGTATTTCTATGTGGCTATCCAAAACATTTTTATGCATGCTATTGTTTTTTTTTCCCTCCAACATTTATAGCTCTAAATATACAACTATCTAATACATTAGTTATATAAATACATTAAATATAAAATCTCATTTATAAAAAGGATTTTGTCTTTAGTTGCCACATTTTGTTTGTCAATAGTTGCCACAAAACAATACTGCAGTAATAGCAGTATATCCTACTTGTAAAGGGAACAAACGTGTTATCCTTGCTTCTGTGATCAAATACAACTATTTTTACATGCATTTAAATAAGCTAATTAGGAAATAGGTTCACATGATCACTTTCACAGGTCAAAAACTTTGTCTGAGTTTATATTCTCATTCAACTTCTGATCTGGCGTGGTTTATATTACTGATATCCCAGTTAAAAGAATTGGAAAGATCTTGAATGTAGGAACCAGAAAAAGAAATGGAATTCATTTGTAGCTACTTGTATTGCTATTGGTTTTTATGATCAGCTGCTTATATTTTGTATGGATTCCTCTATTTTTCATGTAGCAATTAACTGAAGTGTTCTGCAAGCCCTCCTGTTAGAGAGAAAAATCTATTTGCATGCTTGTGTTACCATGGAGTAGTTATAAAATACGTATTTAGAAAAATGGTTGATGTAATTTCTATGTGATGAATCTTGTATTCAAAATGTGCAAATTCTGTTAGCAAGGGAGAAGAGGAGAAAGGTTTTCCAAAACAAGTTGTTCTGGTTGTAGCATGCTTATTTTAATAAAGTAATTATGACATTATCATCCCTTCCTTGCCATAACATTTCTCCCTCAAAGTCTACTAGGCCGTGTTTCCTGGCTCTCAGCAGAATCCCAACAACCTTATCTGAAATACGAACATATCTGTCAAAGAGTTCCCCAAATGTAACTTGGATCTTCCCATCAGGCCGTGGCTTAGCCATGGATTCAATGATGAAACACATGTCCCTGATCTCCCGATGGATGTGGGCCTCAGCTTTCTTGGCTCTTTCAGCAGTTTTGGTTCCTTCCTTCGGACGGCCATAGCCTGCGTCTCCTTTGTGCAGGCGTATGGACATGGACAGCTCATGGTCAAATTCCTCACTGAAGGGATTGAGCTTCTGAGACATGATGTGCTGGTCGCTCCATTCTTGCCATTTGTCCTTCAGGCTATTGACAGGGCTGTATTTCCTCTGGGCTGTGGTGCGTGCTTCTTCATTTATCCTGTTTGTGCTGAAAGAAACAAAAAGGGCATTTCAGGTTTGCATTTGATCATTTAATTACATAGTTCTGCTATAAATCTCTTAACTTGGTTACCATGCTTTTCCAGATGAGATGCTAGCCACCAGGTGGCGTGAGTTCACTACTTCTAAATTCTTTGTTTGGGGAGTTTTTCTCTCAGTTTGCACTCAAAAGCAAATTCACGGATCACAACTTGATCCCATGTACACTACCACCATGCAACCTAGAACTGAGCCCATTTTGACGAGCTTTCGCCCAGGATGACATACTTCTGTATGAGAGCAAAGCAGTATTGTTGCTGGTTACATTCACTTTCTAAACCTTTGGTCAATTATGCAGCTCCCAGGTTCTGCCTGCCTCGCAGAGCCTGAAATCTGTCCACCCTGATGTTAGAGATTACAATAATGGTAAGTGTATGGACTGGGTCCTCAGCTGTTCTTGTCTGGAAAATGGGAGGTAGTGTCTAGACAAATCTGTCCCCTGCAATAGATGTCAGTGTTTAAAATAACAACGACAAGGTTCTGAACAAGTACTGGAGTCCAAAATTCACATCCCCACTGGCAGGGTAAAAGCCTGAAAGAAACATAGGGCTACTGAGATTTGTATCAATGTCAAAGGATGAGGAAAGACCTTCAGGGACCTTGGTGATTTTGGGAGGGTTTATTGTTTTGTGTGTGTGTGTAACATCATATTGTTGATATTCTTTCCTCTAGAGGCCAATCCCACATGCTGTGCGTGAGCTATAGGTAGTCTGAGCTAGTCTTTGTGCTGTCCACATCTTGGCATGTGTCTGTACAGAGCTCTGCTAGGGAGTACATTGAGCTGTGGCTGTGGAAAGTAACCTGTTTTCTAATATTTTAGTCCCCAGAAGGTTGCTCTGAAACCTCCCCAATGATGTCAGCTGAATGTTAGCAGTAATACTGGAGAACCAAACGCCAGTTAGCAAAACAGTAGAGAGAGATCAAAACTGCAGGAAACCTTGTTTCCCTGCTGTCTGGGCGTTTCCCCTGTTGCTTAGCTTAATGACAAGTGAACACAGTAAACTATATACACATAGAAACGTTTTTTTTCATGTCTGTACCACATCTACACAATGGATCATGGATCCAAAGCGAAGGTTGTGAACGTTAACCTACTGTAAGCAGTGCTTCACCTGTGGCAACAGCTAATTTAACCTGTTTACTGGATTCATAGAATCATAGAACAGCGAAGGTTGGAAAGGACCTTGAGGGCAGTGTCCATGTTCCATGTCTCCTATGATCCTTTCTGGAGGAGAAAGGTACGGATCCCTTTTTAATGTTTTGAGTTTCATGTCACTGTTGCATCCCTTTGGCTCCTATGCAAGAATGAAAGAGTGTTTCCTATGCCTGTAGGAGTTAATATGCCTTCTGCTAAGAAACCTTATTCCAGAAATACCGCAGCTGGAAATTGTGAAGGTACTGGTGTGAGGGAAAAAAAATAAAACACTGGTACTGATGCCTTTTCCCTGGAATATAGAGAGGAAAAAGGGAGATTTCCTTTAATAGCCCCGTACTTACGGCATCTTTGAAGAAGATTAAGCCACACTGGAAGATTCCTGAAAGTAGCAGGCTGAAATAGTGTACTCTGAGGTTAATAAATTAAAAAAGAGAGTAGTTAAAAAATCCAGTCCTGATAACAGCACTGTGAGTGCAGAAAATGACTTTCATGTCATATTTCATTGGGAGAGCTCTAACAGAGGTGCTACTTTGATCATTTGCACCTCAGTAAGTATGGCTAATCAGGTTTTTCCTAGGTAGCAGCACTAACATTAGGCATAGGAGGAAAATATAAGTAAAGTTTAACAGAAAAATAGCTGGTTTATTTCTGTGATGGCATTTTTTAAATTAGAAATTTGTTTTAATTGAGCTTATTTACAGATTATAACTGCTGCAAATTTATCTTCTTTTCCCAGTCTGTGAAATCCTGGTTTTGAGGCCTAGCTTCTGTCAAAGGATGCTGCATGTGGTCTCTCCCAAAAGCAGAGGCCGCAAACTTTCAAGCTCTAGGTTACTGGAGAGCATTTTTCACTATGGCTATTAATCATTTGCTCCTTGTGGGAGATGACTGATCGGCCTACAGCAAAGCATCACTCTGTTCCCTAATCTAAATAGTTAAAATAGCTCTGTGTGCTCAGATAGCTGTGCTAAAAAGTGCCGTATGGTTGAAATCCAGTATTATGTTAGTCATGGTCTAATGCCGGTCATGGTAAACGCTCCTCAGTAGTGAGGTGTAAAATCCGAGCAGCGGGAATGGTGCTGCCGCCTGCCTGTCTGCAGAGAGATCGCAGAATCTGTTTTGGTCCCAGCTCTCATTTCTGAAATTGCGATTAGGGTATGGTGTGAACATACTGGCCCTGATCCTCCAATCCCTGTTGCTCTGCTCTCCCTTTACACATAGGCTAGCTGGGTGGGTGAAAACTGCCTTCTCAGCTCAGATTTCCTCCTGCTCAGGTCACGCTCACATTACATGTGTGCTGGTGGTGGAAATGGAGTAGAAGCAGTGGAGACTCGAGCCCCACACAGGGATTGCTCCTGATAGGAACCTATGTCCTGGTGCCAGCCTTTTCCTTCCTTGCAGGCTCAGGTGAATGAGCTCTGCTGAGCCCTGCTTTGGTTTAAGTTTCACCTTCAGCTTTCCTCCCTGCCCAGCAAAGCCAGCAGGCAGCACCTGGGCTGTGCCTTAGCCATAGCCTGGTGCCCACTGCCGTCAAAGCCTGCAGTCTCCTTCATCACCATTTTACAGCTACATGTGAGCTTTTACACTGCAATAGTTCAGGTGAAACCACATGCCCCTTTCTGCTGTCTTAGTTCAAGGGCATTGTCGAGTTTGTAAAACTGAGGGCTGGAGCAGTGTGTTATAACAACTGCCTACAGCTGTTCATGTTGCAGCATTGGGTATATGGATCTCTTCAACACAAGGGTGATGAATTAATTTGGCATGTGCTCACTGGCAAGTCTGGCCACCACACAACTGTTTGTAGCTGTCTTCTAGAAGGGTGTTTCTGCTGGAGGTCTCTGGAAAAAGAAACTGGAGAATTTCTAACAGACTCTGTTGTCCCTCTGCCGTTCTAGGAGCCTTGTTTACTACTTATATACTACCTGGGCTACAAATTTTACGTGTGTCTGCTTTTGCATAGAAGTCTTTAAGTAAGACCCTCTTACTGAGAGAAGTATTACTCAAAATTGTTGGATGCTATTCATTTGCTCCTTAATTCAAAATTTAAAATAGAACCTGTAATAACTCCATAGGTAAGTATTAGTCTGCTTCCTTTTTCTTCACACAATTTACAGGCATACATAAGTCTGTATCTCAGGAACTTCTACTTCCACAACATATTCAGTGAATGTACACCCCCCCACACACCCCTTATGGTAGCATACCCAAAGAGAGACACTGAATTTGAAGAATATATTGATGATTCAAATGTTCTTTTTGTCAAATGATCTATAACATATAGCATGATTCAAATGAGTCCTGCAGATGTTGAGAAAGGCTGGATGCTTTCTAATGTACATTTGGGGTCCCAGCTCCTGTGAAAGCTTCCATTCTTTTACTTCATGAATTCTAAATCTATAGAAAGCTTCCAAAGAGAAGCAGTGAACCCAGTTTTTGTTAAGATCTACTTTAATTCCTTCAATTACTAATTTGGACATTCCCTGCCAATTACTCCTGGGAATATTTACAATTTATATTAAGCAAAATACTAAATAAGTATTTGGAACTATTATTTGTCAGGTATATTGCTTTAGACTTAACATTTGCTGAAACGAATAGCTGTAGGCTCTTGATGAGATAAAAATTGTTACTATGAAATATGAACTAAAGTATTAAGAACTAAGTAGTGATTTTGATGAACTGGTAAATCCAGTGTGAGAACTAAATATGATTAACATTTCCCAAACATAAATTCCTGTCTCTATATAGCACATAAAACCCAAGGCTATAGTGAGATGTTGTTGACTGACTACTTAAGCACAAGGATATGCAAAGGGATATTTCATGGGTATTTTCTTCTTATTTTCTTCAAGACTAATATGTTATCTTTGACCATTTCCTGCCATTCCTCTCCCTCCCTCCCTCCCTCCCTCCCATCTTCCTCATGGAAACTTGTACTTCTCTCAGGGGCTGCTGACCATTTGTGATAATATAACAGAGATATTTTACTTACAGAGATGGCACAGGTCGTTTAATTCTCACAACCGTCACCTCTCGGTCACTGTCTTCTGGCTCAGTTTTGTCCTCTGCTTCCCCATAGCCACTGTCCTCAGCATCCAGGCTGTCATCATGACACTTAAGCAGTGGTTCTTTCTTAGCCCCTTCTCTGTCATCTTGTTCCACCTGTTTCCAGCCCTTGGTCAGCTCTGAAACCATGTTTGAACACTTTCTCCTTATGGTTGGAGATAATTTGCCACTAAGAATTTTGTCAATAGCATTTGATTCTTCTTTGAGCTTGGTCATCTCTGAGCTGCTATTGTTCTCGTATCTTTCACTGAGGAGGCTAACATCTCCTCCTCGTTCATAGGCTTTGCTTACAACTGTTTTGGTCACCCCTTTGCTTTTAATGCTGAACTTTTTCAGGGCTTCATCTGATTCCCTTGAGTTTTTTTCAGATTCTCTTATTGTTACTGATTCCTTTGCTGAGGCTTTTTCATCATCTTTTTCTTGGTCCTTCTCGACAGGTGGTGTTGGCCATTTTTCAAAGGATCTTTCTTCTACAGGCTGGGCTGGTGAGTCTTCTGTAGGGGGGACCCATCCAGAGGGCTCTTGGGCTTGCTTTACGTGGTGGTCAGATACCCACTGCTGCCATCCTTGCGCCAAGCTGAAGACCATGCTGGCCATTCGGATTTTGTGGACAGCCCTTTTTCCAGGAGTGGTGCTTGCCTTTCCTTCAGGAGCCATGGCACTGTCTGCTGCCATGCTGGCTTTTCCCCTTCTTATGATAAGCACCTTCTGACTGAACTTCCTGAAGTGAATAATGCCCTCTGAAGAGAGCTACGGAGATTTAAATAGAAGCTGGGGCAGCTTGTGCCCATGGAAAATATGTGAAACATTTCTCACAAAGACATAGTATCCTCACTGGTACGGAGGTCTTTTTTTAACATGCAGGGTTGCATTTCATCACAGCAGACAAATGATGTATGATGTAAATAACATGACACAGACCTGCACTGGAAATAGTGGGAAATTAACAGCTTCTTTAGTCCCCCTTCCCAGGGACTGCTCTATTCTCAATTTGTTGGCAAGGGTCTTATTCTTCTGGAAGTGCAGAACATGGGTTAAACATACTGAACAGAGTGTTTGAAACTGCTAAATGTGAAGTGCTGTCAGTTGCTGACAACTTTGGCTGGAGTAGAGATCCCTCGTCATCAGAAGTAAATAGTGGCCCTTATCACACAGCATAAAACCAGAAGCAGGCTATGAATGAGAACTTTTTAGATACATTTTCCAGGCTATTTCTTCTTATTGCTTTCATGTCCAAAGAAATCCAGGTTTGTTAATTTTTTAAAAGGTATTTATGTGCTCTGTTCCCAGTCATTATCTATTAATGTCCATCTATTTACAACCTACCTTCAAGGGGGTCTGGAAACACTATCATGTTTGGTGTCAGCGCTAAGGATGAAGGAACCACTATCTCTAGTCTGAAGATTATATAAAAATATAGAAAGTCTGGCTTGATCAGATGGACGAATGACCTCCCAGGTTTAGGACTTTGAAAAAATAGTGTACAGCCCATTTAATTCCTGACTGCTTTTCAAGAAAGTTATCTGTAAAACTTGTTTACTTGTTTATTATTTACAGCATAATTATGTTTATTAGGTACAGTATAGAAAAAAAATCAAATTTCTTAAGGAACTTTGTGATTTCTTCATTCCAGAGGACTTTCTGGAGTACGTATACAATAGTTTAATGAATTGATTCATACATTTTCACATCATAATAATGTCATTTTCCATAGATACGGTCCTGTGGTATCTTATTTCTTAGTGAAATGTTTCCTAAATAGGAAAGGAAAATGGCATTGCTTTTTCCATCCATCATACCTTGCATCTTACAGGATGACCTGCAGCACTTGCCACGTGGCGCTCTGAGGCACACTGAACTTCAAGGAATTCTCTTGGCTTCATCAGTGTTACATCAGAGATAAATATGGGCTTTTGGTACTCTGCCCTTTTCTATTAAAGGCTGGTCTGTTTGAAGTAGGTTAGATCCTATCTAGCTTTTGCTTAGTAATATAAGACTATGTCATATCTTTGACTTCTAGGCAGAATTCCTCATTAATCTTTGAGGTCATTTCCTCTTCAAAACTGATGACATAATCTAAGCTAGTGTTGCTATTAGATGTTTACTCATACTTTTATTTTAGAAAGATATGTGTCACTCCTGTATACTGTATAACCCCAGCTATTACCAATGGCATCATAACTGTGAAATGCCACTGTGAGGTATACTGATGCAACTTGATTAAGAATGTATTACCGGAATGTATTACCGAAGGTTTATTTTGGTGGCATTTTAAGGTTAATCAGGAATGGGAGTTTCTTGGGTTTAAAAAGCACACGTGTGCATACATGCATGCACACAGGATGGTGTATGTTTCCTAATATACAAGGAAGATGCAAATGAAAGACGAAAATAATGCACATGCAGACAGGAGTATGACATCAGCTCCTTATATCATTCCCTGTGACTTCTTGAGTATAAGGGTGGCCAAGGCTTTCAGAATGAGCTGAAAGCTAAATACAGAGGTAAGGGGTGAAGCCAGGGAAGGAGTGCTGTGAAACTTCAGTGACTGTGGAAGGATAGTGATGGAGTGTAAGGCCAATAGGAAACCCTGTTGTAAGGTAGGATCAGTTCCACCTGAATGTGCTCAGGTTCCTGGTTTACCTGTTTAAAGACTCTACACAGGCAGTCTATTCCAGTGGTTAACTGGCTTAAATGAAACCTTTTCTGAGGCCTAACCTCCACCTCTGTCATAGCACTTTAAACCTCTGTCAGCACGGAGAACAGACATATCGCACCCTTTCTGAGGCAGCCTTTCTTTGTGTAGATTGCTGTATTCCTCAATCTTCTGAAGGATCCTCCTTCTTCCTAATTTTTCATGTTCTTTCATGATCCCTAATAATTCTTTTGCCAGTTTCTCAGCTCCCTGTGCTAAGTCCACATCTTTCTTCAAATGTGATGCCCAAAATGGGAATAGTATTCTGGTTTAAACTTGTGCATCGTGCGGAAAAGAAACGGGTGTCTTGTCTGTTTTCCTCCACGTTCCTATTCGACTTGCAAGCCTCCAAGTTTCCAACCTTTCCTGCTAAATGGCTGTCTGTATTCACAGAGCTGACTATTCATTCACATGTAACCATCTCTGTGGTTGTTAAATTGTTCAGGTAACATTTTCAATTTGTCATTACCAATTTGGTTTTTAATCCATGTTCCAGTGTTTTCATAAATCTCCTGTCTATTTCACTTTTGGAATCACAAATCTAAATCGCAGGTAAGTATAAAGTAGACTCAGTTAATAAACATTAATTTTGATAGAGAAATATTGCCACTTATTTTTGTGTGTCTTTCCACTTAATTTTGGAATAATCCAATGAATTTTGCATGTGAGATAAAAATACAAAACCCCTTACCATTATCAAGATGTATAGTACCTGCTGCTCTTGCTTATCTTTGGGGGTTGGACCAGATGACCTTCAGAGGTCCTTTCCAACCTAACCAATTCTGTGATCTTCCAAAGACTTCTACTCCTCTGTAAAAAAAAAAAATTAAGATTAATTTAATGTGATTTGTCAAATCAAAATTGCTTGTAAGTGTCCTCGCTACAAAGGCCTCAACTAGGTTGTCCTGGGTTCAGCAGTAGCAGTCATTTTTTCTCCTTCTTAGTAGCTGGTGCAGTGCTGTGTTTTTGACTTTAGGGCTGGGAACAGCGCTGATAACACCGATGTTTTTAGTTACTGCTCAAATGTTTAGTCTGACCAAGGACTTTGTGAGCCTCATGCTCTGCCCGGTAAGAGGGGAAGCTGGGAGGAAGCAGAGACAGGACACCTGACCCAAACTGACCAAAGAGGTATTCCATACCACAGCACGTCATGCCCAGGAGGTAACTGAGAGTTACCAGGAAGGTCTGATTCACGGCTCAGTTGGGCTGGGTATCAACAGGTGGTATCGTATTCTCTTCCCTTGTTATTTCCCTTATCATTATTATCATTGATGGCAGCAGCAGTGGTTTGTGTCATACCTTAGTTACTGGACTGTTCTTATCTCAGCCCATGGGAGTTACATTCTTTCGATTTTCTTCCCCATCCCTCCGGGAGCGGCAGGTGGAAGAAAGGTGGGGAGTGAGCGAGAGGGCTGCATGGCTGACTTACGGTCTGGGCCTAAACCATGACATAGGTTTATTGCTGTAATTACTGTTGAGGTTCTTGGACACTTTTGCTCTCATACCATCTTTGCAAGTAGTTATATTAAAATTCATGGCACTAGAAAAGAATTGCATTCCCAGGAAATGCTTGGAAATTACTATGAATTTCAAAGAACTTGTTAATAAAGAGACCTCTTGTCCCTAATGGGCTTGGCCTTGGTGTACTGTTCATAGTCAACAGACTTAATGCTTACATAGTTTAGATAAATGACCGTGAAAAGTTACAGACTAATGAAAACCACCGAGGTTACAGAACCAAAATACTATTACATCCATGTTGCATGACAATATGTTAAGCAAATGTTTAGTTTAAAAATGGTCACTATTTTAAGCTAAAGTTATAACATCACAGACTGTCCAAAGTGCCAGTGAAACTTTAATGTAATTATTCCAAGGATAACTAAATTTATGATGCTTAATTTTAGAGTGTGCAATGATGTTGCCTTGAAAGTGTTGAATGGTGCCTTATTTTATATGGTGATGTTGCCAGCAAAAAAGTTAATCATAAGAAAACTATAAATAATGTCTGAGTCATTCAGTCAGATTCATACTTTAAGGGTTGCTTACTTTACAAATGTTTTACATCAGTAAGAGTAGAATTTATTACTTCATGGGTTTTAATTTTTATTCTTAGTGGAATAACAGGCCAAGACTGCACCTACCTGTCTGTGCCTAATCTCCCTACTAGCACTTCTAAAAGCCAATAGCCAGCCTTTAGAGCACAGGTGTGCTTTACATTGAACCTGGACCACATTACGTATGTGTCTTTCTGTGTTTCTTTCACACCTTGCAAGATCACAAGATGTACTTCAATGTACAGCAAGGCTTGGTGAGGGTGACTGCCATAGGCTTTCAGAAGTTCAAAAACTATGCTTGAAGTCAGAGTTGAGGGACCATTTCTTGCAGAGGCTTCATAGGAGAAATAGCAGTTGGGGAAAGTAAAGAGATGAGCAAGCTCAACATTGAAGTGTAAAGTTGTAAACTCCCTTTCTTTGAACTTGGGTGCCAACATTTCTGGCATTTAGTCCCTTCAACACCTTGAGACAAGTCTGCATGTGTTCCTAGGACCTTGTTACTGCTTTTGGATTGCTGCATTTCACTTGATACCTCAGATTTCCTGGATTCAAAGTTTTGAAGGAACTGCTGAGAGGATACCAATGTCAGTCTTAAAAGCTGGGATATTTTTGTTGTCTGGGGCTTTGCTTGTTTGTTTGTGGGTTTGTTTTCCTTGGATGGGTTATTCTCTATGTAATTGTTTCACTATTTAAAAATCTCTGGGAGACCAGTTTGTCACAGGTTGGGTTTTTGTTTTTTTTTTGTTTGGTTGGTTGGTTGGTTGTTTGTTTATTTAATCTATGGATGCTTAATTTTAAAAGCAGGACTATAGTCTTCATCTGTTCCTTTACCTTGTCAGGCATTGACATATAAGCTATTCAATGTTTTCAATGCCTTAAAACAAGGAATTTAATTTTCAGCCAGTTGCAAACGTATGAAAGG